GCTGGTAAGAAAATACTAAATAACGAATGCTGTAAACTGATAGTAATAATTATTGTAGGATCTTAATTCTTTTTGTTGTACATCATATGCAACTCATAGGAACAATAATGACTGATGAATTATTTTATCATTTACAATCAGCAAATGATCCTATAATAGATCTGAGCACCGGTATCGTTTTTCAACGCATCGGAATGTATGTTGATCGTCAGGTATATCAGCCAACAACTGCTTATATACCTATTACTGAAATGGAATGTAACATCCTAAATCCAAATGACATAGATAAAGATACATGTTTTTTCAATAAAAGCTCAAGAAATAAACGATTTGGTGGACTAGATTTATGGTATAGTAGTTATTCATTGTGGAAACATGGATCAGAAATGCACAAGTCAAACCGTGATTCAGGACAAATGAACCGTATAGCAGATCAAGCCCGTTCCAATCAGATTGCATCAATAAATAATACTGGTCAAATTTACGTTTTATCGAAAAATGATCTCAATCTTGCACACGAAGTCAAGACTATTCAGACAGATTTGGTAGAAGTAGAAAAACAATTACAAGATGTATATTTAAATAAAAAGGTGCAAGCATTAGTATCACAGATGATTACTACTGTGAGACGATTGAATTCCAATTATTTGATCAGATCTATCACGGACATAAAAAATGGTGAATTTAATGTTGATTTTTTGCTACCAGAACAACAAATTGCACTTTATAAAGAACTGTATACTAGAACAAAAACATTCATTAAAAATCGTAAACTATCCATCGCATTTCTCTTAAAACGTTTATTGATTGATCAAACTGTTGATTTCGTGAAACAACAATCGGAAATGACTGAAAAAAACAACAACACGTCGAATGAACAAACAGATAACGGGCAAAATATAGTTGGAAAATTAATTGTTAATAGTATTTTCGGATTGCCATCAGATGATGATTCTGCTATGTTCAACGTTTTCAAAATACATACTCTTCCATTTTTCATTCATGAAATAGCTCACCAGACAACACAACTGCCTTTATATGTCGGTGTTAATATAAAGCAAAATAAATTTATAGAATTATATTCAGAAGACATAGACATGCTATCTTGTACCCTTGTCAATGAACTGATGTTTTGCAGCTTTCCAGTAACAGTTGAAAATCAATTTAAAAATTTATGTTTAAGTTACATACTTAAACCAAATAACGTTCTTGATATCAACAATTATTGTTCATTCTCTAAGATTCCTAAAGAAACAATTCGCATATTTAAATTATCAAGAAATACTTGGATTTTTGGCTCTAGCCATCCCATAACCTGCACAGAATTAAACCCATCATTTAAAAAAAAACGAATTGTCGAACCACTATCGCTGATAACATTGCCATGCAATACTGAGTTAGACTGCGATGGGTATTTAATGAAGTCTGCAAATGCTTCATGCAATTGGAATAATGAGAACGTGTATATCATTTCAAATGGCTCAATTGTGGAACATAATACGCAAGAAAAAGATATTTCGCTTTATAAAACAAAGAATTTTACTAGTTTTATGGATCCAAATCGTCTTCAACAACTCATAAAAAACATAGATGCAACACATAAACAGGCCAAAGACATGTATGAAAATGCAACGAAAGTCTCTGTCTTTAGCCTAGAAATGGATGCAGGAACAGCAATTAAGTCGGGTTTTATTATACAAATGATAATGGTTTTAATAGTCGGTTTAGGACTTATTATTTATGTACGAAAATCCGTCGGATGTATACCAAAAATCACATAAGCTTCTATTAGAATTCAACCAAATATAACTGTTCATGTTTAAGAATAGTTTACGAACCATAAACAACTTATAATGAATCGAACAACAACTATTTTTCATATTAAACTTATCTCATTATCATATTTTGTTTTGCATGACACATTGTGATTAGACTGAAATAGTACTTCAAAACGTATGTGTTGCATTATAGAAAAAATCGACTTTTTATGGTTGCACTAGATGAACTAGAAGGAACAGGCTTCACTGCTACAACGTACTATTATGAGGGCTGCCTAAACGCAAACGTTATCACGTTTTTGTCTTGTAATAGACGGCAACAATGGTACACTGCTCAGTACATTCCCGATTATCAGAATTTAGCAAGAGGGCAAACTACAGTTATTAATCTAATAAAAACAACGCATAGCAGTTGATAAACGTGGTGAGGATTTTCTCTCGTATAGGAAAACACAATTTACTTCCTTTTAGCTGTATTTTAGAAAAAGATACAAAAATCCTGAAAAAAAATCTGACAAAAAAGGTGATCTCCAAAAATCTGACAACAGCAACAACAAGGGCAAGAATAGAAAACCAGACAAAATAGTAGAAAACAACAAATCCAGAAGTTTATTACAGTAGTAGAATGTATTCAAGAACATCACTCGATAGGTAAAAAATCACAGACACCAAAAACACATGAGCAGAACAGAGAAAAGACAGCACATAATACATGAATATGAAAGCAACACATACAACAAAACCGACAGGACAAAAATAAAAAAAATAAACGCCTTTAGGCATGCTCTTGTTCTACAAGAGAAAGTCTTTTAGGATCATAATGGCTCGCATTCACACCAATCCAAAACATAAAAACAGAAGAAAGAAAGGTTAGTCCAAAAGTGGACCAAAAAGAAAGACCAAAGGTTTTCCGTAATCTATCCATTATAAAAAAAAAAAAAAAAAATTTATTCCAAGAAGAAAGAAAAGAATAACTTTTTTTTATTTGAACTATTTTAAGTAAATAGTAACAATTTAACACTGGAATAAGCGCTAAATAGCTGCTTACCCCGGCTTTTTTAAAAACACACAGAAGTCCAATAAAAAAAAGAACAAAAAAGAGTGTTGTATAAAAAACATTTAAAGCAAAATCAACAAATTTAAGATAGAAACGAATATCCATTGTACTGATGGTGAGAATGATGACGGTAAATTTCTTCTTTGACTGTTTCTCCAACTAACTTTCCAAATAATAAAAATAGGTGAGAAAATCTGAAATGAACAATAGTTTAAAGCATCGAGGTATAAAAAACTACGAAAGAACCTAACGAAAGATTAATCGTTGTTCACAATAAAAATCTATGTTTCGAGTTAAGAATATTCGAATGAGTATATGAATACACGTCAGAAAAGAGCGCACGTAACACGTAATGAAGGCAACAATAATTTTCTCTTCTATATTTTGAACAAAGAAACGTTTATTATATTTCCTTATTCGTCCTTGTCTGAAATTGTCGTTATTTCGTTTCTTACGTAAGAAGCTCATTATTACGTTTAGCCGAACGCAGCTATACTTGTCTTATTCACTATACTTTCGTCTATACTCATTCATAAATTCCTGATAATATAGTTTGTCTTTTCTGACTGAGAACAGACGGAACTGAGTTATATTAATAGTCTTCTTCGTAATGAGACATAATAATCAAAGAAAAAGAACTTAAATGAGAATATTCACCCGTTTGTCGCTTCGTATACTTCACATTAAACGTATTCGTTCTAATCAAGTTCGTTACGGGCTATCTCTAACTACTTATCTTCTTTTTCTAATATACAACAAATGAAGGTGAACTGAACAAACAGCACCACTTCTACAAAGAGACTACACTAGTATTCATAGATCGAATACGGATACCGTAAAGTACGTAGCGAACGGGTCAGGGTATACAAGGATTGAAAAAAAGCTAGGTCTCAATGTAAAAATATCAGTAGCCTTTGAAGAATTAAAATTTATGCTAGGACTAAATTCAGCTGTAACTTTTAGTCCCAACTTTTAGTACCCTAATCTCATAAGCATTAAGGATCACTAGAAACAATTATATAGTTCGAGCATAGCTTCTCAAAGCCACGTTAGAAGAAACGCCAACCATCATAACACACACGCAGGAATTCATACAGTTATTCCACACTTTATCTGTAGCCATTTTCGTTTACTTCGAAACTTAATATCGCCGTAGTAAGGTGCAGAAATTCAAACGGTGTTTTATAAATAAATTCAAACGCGAAAGTTATTAATTTGATTTAAAATTTCTGTGCGTCAAATGCTAGAGCCGGACAGTG